ATTAAAAGTACGGATCTTTTTTAAAGTATTTAAGACTAGAATAGATTAAATAAATAATAATATAATTAAAATTGTTCACAAAGCACGCACGTTCCTCGAGTGATTTACAACTTATAATGGCACGGATAGCAGTTAGACATGGTTCAAACGTCAATAAAAAGGGCAATAAAACAATAAAATTTAATTATAAATAGATGTATAATGTTACAACATTAGAGCTAATTAGGATAAACGAATGTAGTTTCATGTTACAATTTGAAGTCATACTAGAAAGAAAAGAAGGTTAATTTAGGTTTATTTAAATTGTTTTTTGGTGGTTATGAGGTCAGTCGAATTGACCAATCCCGTTTTGAGATAGGGTAGAGAAAATAACATATAAACTATAAGGATTTAGTGAAAAAAATGTTTGAAATGCATTTAGGAGGTTTTAGGGATTACACAAACGAAAATTGAGATTTTTGAGATGACAAAAGTATTTATAATTTTAACATGAAAATTACTTTTGCACATGGACTATTCAAAACAAATACTCAATATATTCATGGACAAAACTTTATATTAGCTTATTAAAAATACTTCACTAAGAAATATGACTTTTTGTATGTGAAGACTTGTTATATTAACTGAAAGATTGCCATATTTCGTGAAGATATACCCAATTTATATAGAGTTATAAGTGTTAAATTTGTATCAACTTTAAACGAGTATAGAAGGTCATGTGACTCGACCAACCCCGTGTTGGAAGAGTTACTACAATAACTTTTAATACAGTAGGCATAACTTCATCAAATTTGGCAGATTTTTAGTAAACATTACAAGTCATTTGTACACAAAATAATTTTTTTAATAAGTATTTTTACTCGAGATTTGTCCGTGAATATATTGATTCTTTTTTTGACTAGGCTGAGTGCAAAGTGATTTTCATGTTAAGATTAAAAATACTTTTCTTCATTTCAAAAATCTTATATATCATTTGTATAATCCCTAAAACCTCCTAAATATATTTCAAACATTTTTCTCAGTAAAACGTTATTATTTTCTCTATGTTAACTCTATACAAGGGTTTGTCAATTTGACCAACCTCGTAATCACCAAAAAAAAAATCTAAATAAATTTAAGTTATCATTACACACACACAAGACCAGCTTGGAGTAGCTTTTGAGTAATGTAATTTGATAGCATAATGTGAGCCATGTGTTCCCCAAATGATTTACAACTTATAATTGGGTGAATAGTACTAATAATTAGACACAGGTTCAAAGGGCAATAAAACAAAAACATTTAAGATGTATTCTGTTAAGAATTTAAAGCTACTTAAAATAAACGAATGTAGTTTCATGCTACAATTTGAAGTCATTCTAAAGTGAAACATCCTCATGAAAAATTATTATATATTTTACCTAATCTGACCTTCACTAGCCTAAAGTTTCCTATTCTTACATTTTAGTTACTTTTATATCAATAAATAATGAATACACATGAAAAAACAAGAAACAGAGTACATACATGGCCCTTAAGTTCTTTTTATTTCCCATTGACTGCTGATGGCACTAAACCATACTTTTTTTAAATTAATGGTAGTAGTGCACTAAATAATTTTTATCTAATTAAATAATATAATAACTTACAATAAAAGCAGAATGTCCTATAAGTATCACAATTTTTCTGGCTTTCTAACTATGGAACAAGAGCCATTAAAACTTCATCTAAGCTTATCAACGTGTTTCCTGTGCAAGTCAAGCTTGAACTGAAAGTGAAATTAACATTTTTCTGTACAGAAGATAACGTAGTAAAATACGTCATTTGATAGATAAAAACGTTTACTTTCCATTGGTTAAAAACAATATAATATTAAACATAAGAGAGAACTATTGACAAATCCTGAAAGAGAGGATGTGACAGGTTGGTGTGGCAAGAAGAGTCTGATTTTCTATTTGATGACACTGTAACCAAACAAAATTGAAGGATATGAAAACTATGCTTTATCTGAGTGATGACAATATTATAATAAGTAATTTACATTAACTTTCATACTTCTTGGAGGGGTGATAAACAAGTTAGAGAACTGGATGTCTAGAGAAAAAAATGTCAAATTTCTCCACTTACAGAAATTAAGAATAAAATGGTTCAGATATTATTCTGGTTACATATAACATTCAAGAAATAAAAGGACAAGTTTAGTTTCACCTATTAGTTAACCCTACAAATATGGGCTGAGTGGGCTGAAAATTGTCAAGTTTCATTTGCATAATCTCTGTATCCTTCTAGATAACATCAAACATTTTTGTGAATAAAATGTTATATTTACTCAGTTACTTTATCAATGCTAACTGTATATGGTGTTAGTTGATTTGACTGACCTCTTAACCATCATAAAAATTAGGAAATATATCTAAATTACCTTTATTTTTATTTGTTTTAGAATAACTGCAAATTGTAACAGGAAATCACAAATGTTTATTATAAATAGCTTAAAGCATGTAACAGTATACATCTATTCATATTTGTAAATTTTTGTTTTATTGACCTTTGAACCATGTCTGACTAAAAATACCCCGATACAAGTTGAAAAATTTATGGTACATGTGCAGCTCGTGTTACTGTATCGAATAGCGTAATGCACAAACTGCTGGTACATATACCTCATGAAGATTTTTTATCATATTTCTTTCATTATCTTACCTATTAAGTTTCTGTTTTTTACATTTTAATTACTTATATAATAATAAATAGTGAAACAAATAAAATATAAAAACCTTATAATTAAATATCAAATATTTTTATTTGATATTTTCTTTACTGTAGGTAAGTGATCAAAGTATAACGAAAATAAAGGTTGCAAATGCAAAATGTGTAGTATTGTTAGTACTGATCACAAAATTTCAAAGTACTTATGGTAAGAGTTTACACTTCTCACCTTTTTACACTTATTTTCTGTAGTTATTTTATTACTAGCAGATGGCTTAGAAACTAAAGAAACAAAATGAATAGTACTGTCTGTCCTTTTCAGTACAAACAACGAAGTTCCAAAGTAAATCTCCTGAGAGTTTCTTCTAATATGTTTACACCTATTTCCTATGTTTATTCTACTGTTAGTGGCTGAAATAGAAACCTGACGAATATAAAGCAATGAATCATCGTTCCTGTTTAGTATTACTGTACATTGAGTACTTTCACACTGTCAATATCAAATAAGCTTTTGCGGTACAATTACTAGAACTTTCCCTGCTTTGAAAACACAGTGGGGTAGGATTTATCAAGTTGTTGACAGTATAATGGTTACAACAAGAATTGTCTAAAGTATTATAAAATGCTTATGCTATGGCTTTGTAGAAAGTCTGGGTCGATCCAATAAACTTGGGTGGTCAGGATTTAGTGGTAATATAGATATGAAAGTGCTTATGAACATCCTGTTTTCTATTTTACCATACTTACACAGTAACCAATAAATGTGTAGTTTCCAATATTTTATATGGTACAGTGAGATTTTGGGTACTATACATTTCATGTGTGTATGAGTGATACATATTATTACTATTTACAAATAAATATTTAAATTTCAGTTATTTTTCTTAAAACATAGAACAGTAAATAAAAAATATTTGGAAAACAATGATCTCCACTACTTACAATGTTTTTAAGTTATTTTTTGCACTTATGAGTCGTACCTGCTAACCCTCACCATAAGCCTTGTCCAAATTCACATATTGATGTAGAAAAAAATAATTTTTGTACACTTTATATATGCATTTTTGAATACCAAAAAATCATAAATGACTATACTGATATCACAAAAATCTATTGTAAGTTACCAAGCTTCCTAACGGTGCTCTATTTGGGTCTAAAAAAATCTAATTTCTGTTCGGAAAATAGCATTGATCATAATACTTCAAGCTCTCCAACAATATAAGAGCTTTTTTCTTGTAAGTAACTTAAAAGATTGGTAACTTTCGATTGGTTATAAACTTATAGACATAAAAAAGCAAGCGTAAATAAACAATCTTCTCAAATGATGAAGAGGTGGATGGAGCAAATATGGTGAATTTGATAAATATGATGAAATCTCAGCTCTAGCTTGCCTATATCGGAAATTTGAGTTTATAATGCATATGAAACTACAGACATTGTATTATGGACATCATAAAATGTAATCTGGCCAAACCCAGAAGATGATGTACCAGAGTAACACACAAAAATCAATAATTGGCAATTTTTTTTAATATTTACTTTCAAATTATGAAATTAACTAATGTACAATACTAAAATTTGAATTAAAGACCACAATTTGATACCAAGTTTATTGACATACATTGATAAAATAATAGTTCAATAACATTTTGAATGTAAATCTACAAACATAATTACATGTCCTCTGACCCCTAGCTATCCGTATTGATAAGAGTTAAAACTAAGATTTTTGTAAATATAGAGGTAGCTCAATGTGTTTGAAACATAATAATGATAAGGATGTTGAAAATAAAAAATCTTTTGGGATTTATTATTATAATGGTCAACAAAATGTCTAAATTCATTAGGATATAATGTTTCACTTCACACTGAAAAAAAAAAAACTCATTAAAATTCTATTTCTTATTTTAACATTTACAGTACATTTTAAAGTTCAATATGCTTTCCTGGACACCATGAAGTTGCTATTACATACAAGTATGGAGACAGATATTATCAAATTTGCTAGTTTTTCATTTATTTCAGAATTGCTGCACAAAGCTACACATCATACTATCTGTGCATAGCCATCCCTAGTTTTGAGCTAATAGACTAGAGGGAAGGCAGCTAATCAACAACACCCAATGACACTTTTCGGCTACCTTACCAGACTGACTTGTACTGCACCAATGTTCCCAAATGTAGAGCATATTTTTGCAGCAATAGGCTGCAAAACAATGAAACTTCACACTAACCACTAGACCACACCAAGCAATAATCAAATTAAATAGATGAAACATGAAAAATAAATTATATTTATTATGATTAGTTACCTCAGCTATATCATCAGCTGATGCATCCCCATGGTCACTGAACCAAGAAAAGAAAGTCTTTGGCTGTTCAAGCCCTCTTTTTCGGCTGTTCTTCATTTGTGCTTGTCTTTCTTTTTGTTTCTTGGTTAGATCCATCCCTACTTTCCACTTGATTGTTGTTGAATGTGATGAAGGATCACCTAGAGGAAAACACAGCTTAGTAACTACTTAATTTAGTAAAACCAGTATTTTTTAAAGTTAGCATTTTCCTTATCTGAAAATGTATTTCCAATAAATACTCACCTCCACATACAGAATAGCTTCTTTCTGGGTTTGTGCAATTTGCCAGAGTTTGCAAGCCACCAGTCTTGTGAAAACTTCTACCTAATCACACATGAATTTGCACCATTGCATGATGACATCTTGCAGCAATAGGAGTGTAACACATCTCCATGCACAATGATTCTCTCTATATTCATGCTCATGTATCCTCATTCTTTGATTGGGCAATGAAGAAATATGCACAAGAAAAGTAGAGAGAATGGGTGGGAATATGTGCCGAGACATCTATCAGAAATAAATTTTCTGGTCACGAACATTTTAACTTCAGTATCAATAACATCAGCACACAAAATAGCTAGAATCCCACACTGAGATGGTGAAAATACTGGTGCATTCAAAGGAAGCCCATTGGGTGTGACACCTGATTACAGGGGCTCCATAGAGTCACTCCCATGGAAGATTACATCTAGTTTCATCAAGGGTACACTCTTTGCCCATGTAGGAGAATAGAAAAGGCAAAAAGTCATGATTGTGTTGCAAGGATAAGTGGAATAGGTGCATGGCTGTCTGAGTACTTACATGCAAGCTGTTAAGCAGCCAATATGTGAGTGAGGTTGGGCTCACTCAGACTATACTTTATGTGCTGTGGGAGAAGGGCACTTGTGGTAAGTATCGATGCTCACCTACTCGATCATCAGTCTCTATAGGCCCCATGCCAGCTGTGGTAGGAGGGCACTGTATAGATACTTATATAAACCTCTACTCAACCATAAGTCACTATGAGCCCCTTGCCAGTTTTGGAGTAGGATATGTGAGTGACACATCATTGGTATATATAATATGTTTATCTCATCTCTATTGTCAGTCTCTATGAGCCCCATGCTAGCTACATGAGGAGGGCATCGTCTTATGTACACCACTTCACCATCAGTCTCTACAGGCAGCACACCAGCTGCATTTTTCTTTTTTTTCAGTACGACGTGGAATGGACCAGTAATAGAGTGTCCACCTTGACTACTGAACATACCTTGGCTGGAGGAGGAACTGTAAGACAAAGATGTATAACAGGATTGGTTTAGTAAGTTGTATCCATGGTCCACTTGAAGACTGTGATATGTCTCATGGTTATGTATGTAACTCTTATTACACTCTGGTGTCACCCCAGCCCAACTTCTCAGTGTAGAGAAGTCCCGTGTTCTAGTCCAAGTGGTTATATCCCAATTGATGAGGATTCTCCATGGTCCACCACCATAGCAGCTGAAAACTGATAAGTGACAAGGGTATCCCCATGCTCTATTCGCTGAAGGGGGAGAATTCATGTAGGGGAGAGCCGGAGAACGTGCCTGGATCTCTGCTGGTCCTTCAGTCTAAAAAGGTCATTTACTAGAGATGGTACAATGGATGAGTGCAAACCCTACTTTTAAAAGTCAGCAAGTACTAGCAGGAGAAGTTGGCAGAAACACAGCTGTGGTGTTGGCATTTTCCATGATAGTCCATGGAATGGATATGGTCTGGATCAGACACAAAATGTAATATAGATATATAAAGAAACACTATGATGAAACCTCAAGTGATCTTGTGGAACACTTCATCTCACAGTGGGCACTTGTAGATCCAGGGTGAATGATATAAGTGCTTTCTGTTATCCTGGCTCAATGCAGATTTTAGGTAAGTACACCATGGGAGGCAACACTAGCTATCTAATTGGATTCTACAGTGATTGCAAAGTGAGAAAAAAAAATTACACTCACCTATCCATAGATGAATTGGAGAATGGCCATAAGCAAAATCTAAATTTCTACAGAGATGAGATAGCCAGGTGGAGCAGATAGTGGGTAACAAAGAGGTGTTAGGTAGTCCACAAGCCAATCTGGAGAACAGCATAAAAAATCACTGAAAAAAAAGTAACTAGAGAGTGTGGGAAGTGACAAATCTGACGAAAAAAGATATGAAAGATTCTACAATCATACTCCTCAAAAAGGCAAATACCAGAAGGATGAGCAGGCAAATCCATCCTGTAAGAATGGAAGGATAGAGAATTCTAACAGAGGAGAGGTCCCAAGGAATGAAAGGACAGTGATTGGAACCCCAAAAGGAGGAAAAGAATTACAAAAAAACAACAAATGACCCAGACAGGATACAGAAGTCTACCTTGTACCAAACAAACACAGCAAATGGATATGGGAGAAAGGGTGTGTCTACCAACCTTTGCTACAGAAGACTAGGAAATGAAAGATTGGCTGGGATAAACAAAAAGGTAAATACAGCTTAAGAGAGTTTAAGGGAAACTATAAGAAAACTATGGTATAGACATCTAAACAATGGCAACCAAAATCAAGTAGGAGTGGATACACGTGTCCAAAGAGAGATGATAGATCAAACAAATTGCTAGAGGTTCGATAAGGTCCCAGGTAAGAGCATGGAGAACCATAGTGAGATTCTAGTCAGGCAAAGAGGAGGATTGGATGTCTGTGGGTAAGAAAAGAACAGAAGAGAGTAGGAAGGACCAGTGAAGAAAATATCCTGCAGCACTGACAAAAGGGAAAGGTGTTACAAATTGCTGCCCAATAACCTGCAATAAAAGAGACAGACAAACCTTGGTAGAACAGGCATGTGAAAGATGAGGTAATATGTTGCAAAGCAGGTCAGTCAGGTGGGGGTAATGATAGGGAGACCTACAGTGATAAGTGATAAGTCATGTACTTTGGTACTTGGAAGAGGAAGAAAGGTGACAAGAGTGGGACAAAAAAAGAGACACAAACAGAGGGTATGGCTCAAAGAGCAATGGACTGGGCAAATCCAACATATGAAGATGAAGGTATGTCACTCCCTAATGAAAGAGTGATCTGTGAGGTTGGATCAGAAGGAATGGTACGATGGAGAAGAGGAAGGGGAAAGAAAATGGAGTAATGAAAATAAAAGGTTGGAATTGCCAGTAAGGAGCCACCAATAGGACCCTACTTAGGATATCCCAGATCAAAAGAAGGAAGGGAGAATAAGCCTACAGAAAAAGATGGAACCAGTCCTGACTGAGGGCATACATAGCCAGGGATGAAGCACAGGAGACCAAAAGAGAGGAAGTTTAGCTTTAACTGGTGTGGCAAAGGTATCTATGTGGAGATTATCAAGTTGAGAGCAGATCAACAGAAGACTTGTGAGTGGAGGGACTATTTTATGTGTAGAATGTGGTCTTATCAAGAAAGCCAGCTCACAGCAATGTTCAGAGCACTGAAATGACATGTTATTAAACTCAGCCAATTGGAATGGGCCCAAAGGAGGAGGTCCAATGTCAGGAAGCAGAAAGGTCTGAAGTATGTGCCCCCTTTGCAATTGACATAAGACACAACAATGGAACTGTCCAAATGAATCAGAACTAAATGTCCCATAAGGAAGGGAAGGAAATGTAAATATGCCTGACAGACATTTAGCAGTTCAAAGGTGTGATATGTAGAGGATGCTTCTCCAGGCACCAAGAGCCCAAAGTCAGACCATCATTCAGAGACATTCCCATCCTGAGAAATAAACATCCATAAACAAATGAAGGTCCAGTTTGGGAGGAGGTAAGGGAATGCTGAAGGTGTTGTTGGGGTAGTCCAACCACTAAGCAAAATCCTCCAAAAGAGAAGGTGTAGGTGATGTGTATATGAGTGGCCAAATGGAAGAAGAGGTTTCAGAGAATCCATGGTCCCCACAGAAGGAAGAACCTCTCATGCAGAAACTGAATGCAAGGTGCAAACATGGTGATTAGACATTCAAACTCCAGTAGGTGAATGGTAGTAAGTTTTCAAGGCTAAGACAAGTCAAACAGAAGCTCCAGGTGAAAGAGAACTAGGGTCAGGGTAAGGAAGGAATAGAAAAATTGATGAGCCACCCCAAATGATTGGATTTGTGAAGAAGGTGTGTGTATGTTGGGAAAATTATGCTTGGGAACAGGTGAGGAGAAGTTTATAACCAACATAAAATAGAATTGTAGACCCAGAATCTAAAGAAGTCATGCAAAGGCCCACATAATGTGAATGAAAATACAGGTGGATTGATACTATACTGAATGGAAGAACATGAAATTGGAAATGAGATCCCAGTGAATGGATAGAAGAAAACATCAAGTGAGGACAGGGAAGTTGGGATGTGGAGAAAGGCATCCAAAATATAGATCTGTTTGCAAATATGACAGACAAGACTTCCACATTTCCCAGACCAACCAGATGGAAGTGGGACAAGAAGTGGAGGAAGGACAGAACACTGGAATAGGATAGAGAGTGGGAGAAGGACCAGGACAAAGCACAGAGCTAGTGGGTTGAGGTTGGGACAACCAGCAAAAACAAAAATGTGAGAGAAGATTGATGGCAAGCAGGTGAAGCCCATGATATCAGGAAGTCAGAAACACTACCAAAAACCTACAGACAAAGAAAATGGGCAAAACAAAAGTTCAAGGGAAAGGTGAAAGGAAGACAGATTTTGGATAGGTAACCTTCCCAAAAGTTTCAAACAACAGAGGAACCAAGTAAGAAGAGAAATGGCAGAGGAGGAGGAATGGGCTATGGTAGAAAAAAAAGGAGAGATCTAGATTCTTAAGAAAGGTTATCAGGGGAATAAAGAAGGGCTTTCAACATGAGGTGAAGAGAGAAAAGATACTATGGAAAGGTAGTCAGGAAGACAGGAAAAGTGAGCACTAGAAAGAGAAACAGTAGATAATGAAATCAAGCCTCAAACTGGCAAAGGTTACTCAAAAGATTGGGAGTCAAGGATTGGGAAATCCAAATGACTAAAGAAGAGAACACTGGAGTGAGGCAGGGAGGATGAGGTATAGATCTAAAGAAGCAAAATTGAACCCAAAAGGAAGTGGCATGTACAGATAGAACAAGGGATGGAGGAAATACAAAGAAATTGTTAGAAAATCTATATTAAAGTGAACAGG